TATAACTTCTAAAGCTATGGCAGTAGCGAATTGTGAGGCTCAGTAATAAAATGTGGAAACCAACGTTTTTAATATTAAGAAGGGCTGGGTAAGTAACTTGTTCTGTTTTTTAGCCTTTCTAAAATCGTTGTTTGCAGATCAATAGCCGGTTTTGTTTATGGCTCGTGGTCCGGATGCCTTTTTCTATGGGTTTACCGGTATAATAAACCATAGGTTTTTGACCAATCAGATCACGCGTACTATCTCAGTTATTTTATAATGTTTGGTAATTCATAGTCGTCGGTCTTAGTCTTGGGGATTGAAACAACCTCTGCTATTTTCCACTCTATGGGAAAAATGCTACTTGAAAGCGAAGTGTTAATAAGGTCAGTAATTGATGGAAAGAATCGAAGATATACGGCAGTCTTTGTAAAATCAATTCAGTCCCTTATAAATAAATAATAAATAAAATAATAACAATAACAATCCATAATAACAATAATTGTAAAAGTAAATTATAATTATCTGATAAAAATCTCCCAGAATCCAGTTTGAGGCAATTTCTCAAAAAGCCTTATAACTTTGACAATTTTGTGCGTAGAAGACTGTCGGACCACAACAAGATAACAGTTGCCATAAAACATCTTCCATGTCACATCTAAGGTAATGACGTCATCAGTCACTTGACTATTTCCGAATTAGCCTTTTTTTGTTGCTGTGAAACGATTTCATTAAAGAGTTAAAAACAGGTAGTATATTTGTGGTTTTAGTTTTGTGGGGCATTTAAATATAACCGGTTGACATCCGGCATTAAGAATTTAAGGGGGTAATGAACAGGAGCGGAAAAGTAGGGAGACGAGGCCGAGGGCTGTAGAGAGTCAACCTTTTATCAGACGGCAGAGAAAATGTGCGGGAAAGTAATGTTCTACCTGATAATTTTTCTCATGACCAAAAGAGGGACATGGCGTCATCAGTCATGTGATCAAAGCGTTTTGAATGTTTTAGTTCGTTTTTAAAGTACCTTTTCTGTCATAAATTGGCAGGTTTTTGCTGTTTTTCTCAACAATTCTTTACACTGTATTGTCTCTGAGCAATTATCATTCCATTTGCAAAGCAGAAGCAAACGAAAACTGAGCCAGAAGTTTAAAAGTTGCGTAAATTTGGCCGATATTGAAAGTTAAAATCGACAAGGAGACCTACTCTTGAGACTTTTGTAAAATCCTTTTTTCGACTTAACTGTTCGTTTACCGAAATAAATGTTCAACGTTTGTTAATAAAGGAGAACTTTAAGAACTAAAAGGATGTATTTTGCGGCCACATTGTTTTTCTTCATTCCGGGGAGAGAGGTCATATAGTAACTCTTCTAACCCTAGAAACCAAATGGTTTGCTACCCTAACCTAAAACATTGGAAATAATGATGAACAATGTTGTGTTACTGTTTTCCCCGACCGATGAAAAGACACCTTACGAGCAGGGAGAGAATCGTACGGTCATACGGTTCGGTCGGTAGCCCCACGATTGATAGTTCATAAATTTCTTAAACGTTCCCCGGCATGGACCAGCCTGAAAGAGTATTAATGGTTTTATATTGTGAGCTTTACGTCTAGCTTCTATCAGTTAAAGATTTAATTTTACACGGAAATTTAAAAAAAGCGAAAAATTCATCTTTGAAAACTGTAAAACACCATAGAGAAGCAATATATACCTCTTTTAAACTCGAATTGTTAGCGTTTACCGTGAGGTGGTCCAGTGGATTGAGGCGTTAACTTTCAGTTCTAATTGATCGTGAGGGTCCAAGTTACAATCCCCTTAAAGCAAATTTTTCGTAACCTTTTTTTTTTTCTTTAAAATCTCTTTTTCACTCTCCTTTCTACGTGTGTGGTGCATATAATATAATGTGGTAAACTGAAAGCAAAGTTTACAGGAATATAAAAAATGCGGCATGATACTGTTATCATTACCCAGCTCAATTGTCGATTTTCGCATGTGCATCATTTAATTCCAGCGGTGACTGCTTTGAGATGGGACGTCTGAATCAACTAAATTCGACAGTTTCAATTTAAATACGACTTTGTCGAATCTGCGACCGAAGCAGTCGGAAATTCGACTTAGGTTCAACATTTGAAGTAGAAGTCGCATTTTACATGTGCCGAAAATAATGCATTTGTTATAGAAACCCTCATCCATATTGGATAAAAAAATATTTAGAAACTGGGAATATTTACAACAAACGAACAGGGGTCTTTTTTTGCAAGAGCATGCGCACTAAGGCTTGATAAAGAGCACGCGACCAGTGACAGCGACCGTGGTGCATATTCATAGGAACCAAATTCCTCACTTTGAAAGCCTGCATGAGATTCAAATGGTAGCAGGAACTAAGGAAAGACCTTCACTGTACAAAATAAGTAAAGATATGTTGATTTAAAGCGGAGACTGATGCGCTGAACGAGTTGAAAGAGCAAGTTTCTCAAGCATGTCTGACACGAACTTGGCTGCTTGTTGTTGTTTGGCGCTCGACTCGTGTCTTGATTCCCCTTCAAGAACCACAATGTTTGGCATAGAATGCATTGTTGTGGGAAGCTATTGAGCAAAATGTTCTTTATTTAGTGTTTGTCTATAAATCGAATCTAAATTACTTTCTTGATGCAGTGGAGAATTTTTGTCAATAATTTGTGGGTACCTGATTTAGCCGTATTTCGGGAGTGGATTAATAACGATCAGCGGGCGACTACCACGCCGTTATCAGTTGGAATGGAAAGTTGTTCCCTTACCCAAGCATATTAAGGTATGGCTCAATTTTTGGTCTCGGCATTTTAATTCTAAAAGTTAGTAAAAACTTTCGGGAATTGTCTTTTGAGGCATTGAATAGATTACGGTTGAACTGATGTGGTCACGTGAAACGTGACGTCATAATGCTATTCAAAAGAAAATGCTAAATGGGGTAGGAATGGAACGGAACGGAAAGAATTTTTATTTTCTTCAAAAGATCCTATTTTGCTTAATTGTTAATTAAATAAAAATTGGAGACAACCATTCCGGCCAGATTCATGCTAGGAACCATTACAGAATAACAAAAATAATGTATTTAATATCTACTGTATGGCATCTCGCCACCCCATTTTTAGTTTTCTCGTCTTTCCTGGAGTTGACCTTAACTGGTCACGTGACGCAAAAATATGGTTTCTTGAGTAACAGGAAAATTAAGTTTACCAATATCTTAGACGTTGCTAAATTTTGATGGGTTCTGGTAAATTTTCGCAAGGTTATGATCATTATAAGATTTTATGCAAATTAGGCTCAGTAACTACCACCGACATTTCACCAGGTGACTAATCTACGTCTCGTTTGCTCTCAATTTTTTTGCTTTAATGTGCTGGGAAAATTGTAGATGATATATTAATTCCCTGCTGAACTGAATACCGGCTTTTGCGCACCTTCGAACCCACACGCTCAAATTTGCTATGTTTTTTTTGTGTGTGTTCCTTTCCCTTTTCAAAACAAAGAAAATTGAAACTGTTTCTTACATCAACAAACGTTACGGCACTTTGTCAGTTAGACTTTGATGAGGTCAGTGCAATCCTACAAGCACTACATTAACGCGCGCTGTTGACCAGGTCAAGTCTGGAGATGAAATTTGATAGTAGCTCGTGGTATATGTTAAAACCGGTCTACTTCGCTTTTGAGACAATGTTAGAGTTTCTTTTTTTGCAAACTACACATTTTGTTAAATCACGAGCACGTTCTCCAAGACCAACAAGCAAAATAATCGCGATGACAGCTTTGAGACACGCCATTTTGATGAAGGCAGACCATGTCAGAGCCTCTATGCATGCACATCACTTGTTCAGCGGTCGCGCATTCTCATGCAAAAAAGACCCCTGTTCAACAAACGGAGTTAAATTCGGCACCATCATATCTGACGTGTTCATCAACTGCCGAATTTAATTACTTTCATCGACTGAAATAGGTGTTCGGCACTCATATCAGAAATCTAACGTTTGAAAGGGGCCCATGAGGTAAGTTTCAGCTTAGTGGTTTGCAGGCTGTTATGAGGTTGTTGTTTTCTATTCAGTAATTAAGAGCAATTCGTATAGAGCGGTTTTCACTTGACTGTCGTAAAACCAAAACCAAAGTAAATACACTAGCCAACCAAAGGGCATAGTAAAACCAAAACCAAAACCAAAACCAATCCCTTTCGACAGTCAAGTGAAAACCGCTCTATCTCTTTGTAAATCCATTTTATTAATCGGCTTGTGCCGCGACTTAAGAATCAGCTGTAATAGTTGATTTTACTTTCTCTTTGACCTGATTTGTATGTCACTGGAAATGATTTGAATATCAAAAAAGCAATCAATGTTCATCCATCCATTTCGATAAAAGCAAATGGAATCACTGGCTAACTATAGCGGACAACCTCGAACTGAGTGGAGTCCAATTTGGTCTGTAATCATACGAGTGATTAACAAAATCGGACGACCGCGTAGCGGGAGTCCGATTTGTTTAATCACGAGTATGATTACAGATCGAATTGGACGACACGAAGATCTGTTACCAATTAATCATTACTTTAACAAAATTTGTGATATAATAGGCTATTTTTTAAATCAAAACACAAGAAATTCGAAATTTTGTTTTGCTAGCAGTGAAAAAAAAAAGCCATTTAAGCGCGCGCGTGATGACGCGTACTGTCCTATTAAACTGTCCAATTAAGGCTGGAATCAGGGCAGTTGATAACCAATCAGATTTGGGAATTTTGTTATAGTTATGATAATAATAATAATAATAATAATAATAATAATAATAATAAATAAATAAATAAATAAAAAGATACCCCGCTTTGTTTTCAGCAAACCAATGAGGCGGAAATAGAATTGTTTTTATAACGGTAGTTTTGATACTGTATTTGGGCCAACAATGCTGAAAATTGGTACTGTATTCGGGCCAATAATGCTGAAATTAATGAAAAAAGGACTAAAACAGGACTAAAACAAACGGACAGACAGATAAACAAACAAACAAACAAAAAAGAACAAGGAAACCAACCAATAGCTGTCCCGATCAGTTTAAAATGGAGGCCGGATCCATCAGGGTCAGCGGTTTGTTCATCGTCATTATCATCTGCGTGAAATAAATTTCATAACATAACTTCATTAATATATAGATTTAGCCAGGGCTAAAAGCGAAGGTAATATTTATAGTTTGTTCAAACAAAATTAAAATCGTGTAATGCTAAGCGGCTAAGGCAACGCCGGGAGAACAGAGCGGAATGTCGCTTGTTTTCGACTTCGGTCAGGGCTTGCGATGTGGTTTGTCCATTAGACACTGCCGCTGTCACTGAATTATGGCGGCTTGATTTTTTTTTTTTTTTTTATGCATTTCTTCCTCGTTCCTTTGTGCTGGTACGCTGTTTCCGAGAGGCAAATGTTGCTATTTTTTGCGGGAGGTTTAGTTGGAGTAGACAAAGGGTTTCTTTTATTACTTCCATGACTCTACCACTGAATTCTATTTTCGTTCTACTACTCGCCAATGTCGATGTCATTCCAAAACAAAAACAACTAAGTACTGTCTAAAAAACGAAGGAAAATCTCATCCATGTCATCCATGGCAAAACTAAAAGACAGCAGATCGGTTTCATAACTAGATAACGTGTATTTTATAAGTGCGTGCAGCTCGTGCAAGGTGAAATTATGCTAATTCCAATCACCATCATCCTTCTTTTTAATTTTGAAAAAAACATCTCATACGTCTTTCTGTTTCTTCAAAACTTCAAAATTAGTTTCCCCTCAGTTTTTATTGTTTACCTTGTTTTGTTTTAGAGAGAAAAACGGAGAAAAAACCTTACAACTAACCTCAATACATTTTGTTTACATGCGGTTGCCGGATTTGCGACGCATTGCGCGAATCGCCATGGCGCGTTGCACCCGAGAAGCATAGTTTGAAGCAGTACAACGCCACTATATCAAAATATATCAATCTAATTTTTTGTTATGTTCTCTAAAATTTATCTCCCTTTAACATATGTAAAAATTTAGGTTAAGAAGTGTTAAGCTTTTGCAAACGAAACGGCGAAAGACGATTAGGTGATAATTAGTGGAAGGAGGAGGTATTCAACACTTTCAAATTAAACTCAAGTTTTGGCATCGTACGACCAACAAGTTTGACTTATAGGCAAACAAACACAAACATATGAAACTGTTTATTGATATTTTTATGAAAGGAATTTATCTATTTAACATTGTAGCCTGAAATTACAGAAAGAAAATAGGATTTCCGGTTTGCAAAAAGAAAAATTTCGCCGGCCTTCAAGGGCACTGGAAGCGGGGAAAGAGCGCTCGTGCCAGTCCTACTCCGCTTCACACATTAAATGAAGAGCGGAGCGCTCGTTTCACCGCCCAACCTTTATCCGCCCTGCCGGAGAACGGTGAAAAAATGACAGTAGGTCTAATTAGCAAAAAAGCAATTTTGCACGGGAAGCACACTTTTTTTGTACATTTCTTTGCCGTTGTTTTGCACGACTAAAACGTGAAACTTCGAGAAACTTTTTTATGGAGAAAATGTCGTAAGTGTTCTTGTTCACTTTTTTTCACTGCCGCTACCAAATTTTCATGTTGTTCTTCCAACAAAAAATGTCTCCTTTGTTTTTTGTCTCTCGCTCTAGATCTCTATCGCCCTTTTTCTCGTTGAGTTTCGCTGGCATGCTGCTTTTTCTCTTTTTCTCTGTCTTTCTCTTGCTCTATATTCCAAGTTTGTGGACATGACAATTAATCTAAGCCAAGAGACTATAAAGGGGACAGAGAGGGCATCCCCCATATACACGTCTTTCCCCTTAGGACTTTCAGTTTCTTAATAAGGGCCGAATACCTTGCACAATCAACTCTTTTCCTCAGTAATTGTATAAGGAGAAAAGATACGAAATAACTTTTATATACATCAGATTTGAAGAATTATGAGAGTCTTAAATTACTTGCCTCTGTAGTCATAGTTCGGGTCCAAGAGAAGCGCAGTGTGTTCGCTGCCACATTTTCTTAAAGCCTGTACAAAGTTTTGAAAGCCTTCATGTCTTCGTTTAAGTCGATCTACAAGGACCTCAGTTGCCCTTATAGCTCCATGGTTCGTCTGATTTGCCTTAATTTCTTCTTTATCCTCTGGTATTAGGCAAGGCAGAAAAGGGAGCAGTTCGTTAGGTATCACTTCGTACTGAAACTCTTTCAGCCTTTTTTCCAGAATTTGCTTTTCGTAAGGCCTCATTTCGATTGCCTTAAAACTAACAAGCAAGCTAAACTTTCGGTGTAGAAACTAGTTTACAGAGAAAGTGATAACAGTGCAATGTTTGGTTCTCTTATATAAGGTTTGGATGATGATTTATGCAAGTAAGATTACAAAATTAGCATTTGTGAATAGGGAAGTTTCCCGGAAATGCACTTCACAATTCTCGGAAAATCGGTCACAAAAACTGTTCGTTTACCTCACAAATGAAACAATTTCATGCAGTTTATCAACTTCAGTTTTTAAAAAAGCTATCAATTTAAAAATATTGAAAACAAGGCGGGATAGGATGGATTAAAAATAACGACTATAGAGAGCAAAAGCTATTGTTTGATTACACTAGTTAGTAGTATGATATTGTCCCCCCCGGTATCGATCGCAGTGAATGTCATATATATAAATAAAAGGTTTCGCTTTCAGTCAAAAAGGGAAAATTCCCCGTGGTGTCGAAACTTCAAACTTGATTAAAGTTACCCTTGAAACTGAAAGCAATAGTTACCAACCAAGCAGAAATAACCAACAAAAATATGTATTAATAATATCTCTAAAATTTTTTTTTCTAAGTTGCCACCCTAATTTTTTTTTCGTATAAAATATGATGCAGGTGGGTAAAACAAAACATATTGATTTTTAAAATATACAAATTGCCGAGAGGTGAATTGGTTTTCTGTACGGTATGACAGTTTTTTTTTTTCAACAAAGTCCACGCTATATTGAATGCATTTTTTTCCTTGGCATTAAACGGAGCAGAGATCTATTTAAGTCATTTAACAATCCAGACGCATTTTTAAGAGATAAATCCATACAGGCGGAACACGTGAACCTATGTCGATTATTTCATTTATTTATTATCTCTCTCTCGCCGACTGAGGTCCGCGATGTTCTACTATCGCTGGAACCTAAGAAAGCAACAGGCCCAGACAAGATTCCTGCCAATCTGCTTAAGGTTTGTTCACCCCACATTTACTCCCCTTTGTGTGCCCTCTTCAACAAGTGATTGCTTTTGGGAAAAATGCCATCCTCTTCGAAAGAATCTAACAACGTCCCAATATTAAAAGGTGGCACTGTGAAGGAGGTATAGAACTATAGACCCATCTCACTTTTGCCTCTTGTCTCAAAAGTTCTCGAACGCTGCGTTTACAACAGAGTTATCGACCATATCGCTCCCAGGCTTCACAAGTTGCAGTTCGGGATTTTGAAGGGCAAATCCACCACGGCCCAGTTACTTCAAGTCCTGCACAACATAGGCGAAAAGCTTGATAAGCGAGTGCTGGTTGATACTATCTATCTTGACTTCGCTAAAGCCTTCGACAGCGTTAACCACAAACTACTGTTCAAGAAGATCCACCGATTCGGCATCTGCGGTACTGTGTTGTCTTGGTTCGAAGACTAAGGAACTTAAGAACCACGAGGACGACTTCTTCGACGACGACCGGAAGTGAGTTAGAGTGCACCGCGCCAGCGCGACCAGTAAATTTCGTCGTGGTTTCGTCGACGACGCCAAACAAAATAGAATCACGTCGTCTTGAAATCCACAAGCTTCGGCAGGTATAAATCCACCGTTTTAAGCGATTTTCATTTTCTTATCCTCGTAAATCCAGGTATCGTTCCTTTTTTCTCCTAACAAGCGATGTTGATTGAAAATTCGACTAATGAATTGTTTTTACTTCGAAGAATGACAACAGCGGTGGAGGCCGAGCGAGCGAACTCGTAAGTGATAAATTTATTTGTACGTAGTAAGGTAAGGTAAATCATATATCTTTGATATAGAGGAAATAACCAATAAGAAATAATGAAAAACAGCTATCACATCAGAATGTCTCCCTTTCCAAATCTAAACTCACAGACACTCGGACTCGGTCATCTCATTTAGGCTGAAAGTTGAATAATCTTCGTACGGAAAGCACGTGTTTTTCCACTCGAAAAGGTCAGACAACACAAAAAAATCTTCATCGTCAATGAAATTAGACGTACGGCTTAAAAAAATAAGATGTTCGTTGTTTTAAAAGACGCCATTGCGAAAAACTTTGTTGCGAACGAACATCACAGTTTTACATTTGTGTTTACACTAGTGTCGTCGTCGTCGACCTACCGACCGACTGCATGTTAAGTTTCCTTTTTCCCGCCGAAACTGGCGTTCTTGTTCCAGCCTTTTCTCAGTCAACAGAAGTCGTCTTGGTGAACTTCGTCGTGGTTCTTAAGTTCCCTACTATCTTACTGACCGCGTCCAAAGGGTCACTGTTCTCGGGCTCAACTCTAAATCTCTCCATGTATTATCAGGTGTGCGGCAAGGATCAATACTTGGTCCATTCTTTTTCCTCATATATGTAAATGATCTTCCTGACGTGGCGTCCTCAAAATCTGTTGCTCTCTTTGCTGACGACACGAAGTGCTACCGGTCAATCGAAAGCATGGAGGACGGTGCCTCGACCACATTAACCATTGGTGTGATCTCTGCATGGCAAGTGCATCTAAATCAATCCAAGTGCCGGCTACTTTCTATTAACAGAAATGCTACAACCAGTTGCAAAAATGTTGAGACACTCCCACGAAAAAACGACCTTTCTTGCTTCAAATCGCTCCTGGTCACAAGTCTGCGAGATATAATACTGACCTCCCTCCTCCCTCCCATTCAAAGTTGTTCCTCCAAGTTTTGAGTATGGCCTTTATTGCTAGCAACTTTGATAAGGGGTGGAGGGGGAATCAGAAGCACAAGATCATGGACACGCCATTTATGCCAAAATACGGTAGTGTCTCAAGTACTTTTGCAACTGAAATGAGCTACAATGTAGCTCATTTCACTTCCCCTATCAATTATCCGATGTCCAAGTTTAGACGAGTGAAGCTCAGAAGGACCTTAGGGTTTTAGTTACTTTTTTTTAATAACATCTGAAATGGAACTCCCATGGCCAAGTGTTGGAAGCTTGTTCAAAGGCTAATATAGGATGCTTGGCTTTCTCGATCCGGAGATCTGCTTTCGACTCTCATGACCAGTGAGCTCGCAAATAACTTTACCCGTCACTAGTTCGCAGCAACCTCGCATATTGCTCGCAGGTGTGGGTTCCTCAAGCTGTAATCTTATCATTGACATCAAAAGAATTCAGCGAGGCGCAACAAAATTCATTCTGTCTTTGCCGTTTCGGTCTGACGTTAATTATGAGCAGAGGCTTTTAAAAATTGGGCTACTACCATTATGTTATTGGCACGAATTCTTAGACTTGGCTTGACTGTTAATCAGTTTATAACTAGGAATAGTCCATCTTAAACCATTTTTAATGCATGTAAAAAATTTTCCCAAAATTACGATGTACTTAATAGTTAGGTTCTTTATATTTGTATATGCATGATTCGCATTTTGTCTGCTTTGTATTTTTAGTTTGTCGAACGTTTTTAACACGAGCCTCTGGCTCGGAAGATTGTGCAAATACTTCCCACATCTTCGATATTAAATAAATTATTCTATTCCTATTCTACTTGGTGTCCATATTCAAGTGTTTAGTTAAATACGATTAGGACCAACACCGTCACCTTTGAGAACAGTTTTTACAGCAGAGCCCCAAGAATCTGGAAACTTTACCAGCCCATCACATTGACTCTTTAGTAGCACACTTTAAGGTGACTGAACACAGTTTTGGCAGTTTGTGAGTAGATGACATTCGCCAAATCATGGCAAGAGAAAGGTTGCAGCTCACAAGCTGAAACTTGGCAAGTAAATGTACTGATGAAAGATTTGACTGAAAGGGAAAATGTGACGTTTTCGTAGTTTCCATGGCACTGTTTTTGCATTTCCGTTTCTTTTCTTGTTGTTTCTAAAGTATTTTCATTCTGGTGAGTTGTATTACTAATTTTCTTTTCTTTTCTTTTCCCTTTTTTTTTTCTGGAACTCGTGGTGGAGCTTGCTCTGTGAGTGATCCAGGCCTCTTGGCGAAGTTTATAAATAGATAAATAGATAAATGTTTGCCCTTTCACATACCTCACGAGGAGAGTCCCTGAACAAGTTTACTACAATGATTTATTTTAAAGATTATCAAAAGGATCATAGTTGAGTTACGAGGATTATAATAATTAGTGAACTAACTAAGAATAATTATCCAAGTAAATAAGTTTGTATAGTGAAATGAAATTCTAATTTTCTTGCCTGAGGAGAAAATGAGTTTTAATTTCTTCCTGAATAAATTGAATGTCTTAATTTCTTTTATAGATTTTGTCAAGTTTTCCAAATTGAAACTCCTTTGTATTTTACTGAGTGTTTTTGGTAGTTAGTTCTTGTTTGGAATTTGTGAACGTTGGAGGATGATCTTGTTTTGTATTGATGAATGTCTTTGTTCAGACAAAAGGAATCATTGAAAGACGATAATAGATCGTTATTGAAGTTTCGAAACATGAACAAAGCAATGCCTTCATGGTTTATATCAAAGATGCAGTCAACCATAGTTAATAGAGGAGACTGGTTAGGAAACCCGGCAAAAATCAAAGTTGAAAATAATGGTGCTGTAGGTTATGTTGGAAGCTCCCTGACCGTGCACAATCCTTTGTTTACTTTAAGTAACTATGAGTCAACGTAGTCCGCGACAAAGCTCTCCAATTTCGAGCTCAGTGGTGTGAACAATGCTTCAAATCAAGAGCATTGCTCACGGGAGGCTAAATGGGGCACCACCGTGAATACCTTAGTGACTTTATTTTCGTTATTTAAGTTTGACAAAAGTGCACTGGCCTGCAGGTAGCTAGAGCTTATCTTGGCGGGCCAGTCAATTTACGTGTAGGGAATTATTTGTTTTGTAGACGTTTGTCTATATAATTTTGAAATATTGCGCAAGATTTATCGCGCATAAAGACTTTCGAAGTGACAACGTAACAACAACAACATCATCAACAACAACAACAATCTTTATTTTCCTTATTAAGGGCTTGTTTACATGGAGGTAGGCGGCCCCAGATTGCTGATGTAACATGTGCCTGGTTACCCCACCTATCATGTAAACGTGATAAGATTAAAAGGAGAGATTATATGGACAGGCAGGTTACCCCACCTAAGCGGGTTACCTCACCTACCTGGGGTCCTCTACCTCCATGTAAACAGGCGCGAAGTTTCACAAAAGTGCACTGGCCCGCAGGTAGCTGGAGCTATTCTAAGCGGGGCAGCCAATTTACTTGTAGGGAATAGTTTTGTTCTTTTTTGTACAAGTTTGTCTTTATATAATGGTGAAAGATTTTACAGATTGTACAGTGCATAAAGGCTTTCGAGGTGAGATGTTATACGCATTTTGAGGTTCTCGATGTTATTTTTAAGAATCTCTTTCTGTCTGAAACTGTGGCATACCATTTTACCCATATATTAGAACTGCGCATCGCAGGACGACTTAAAAGATCAAATAGTCGGATGAAATACCAACAGAGAGTCAGAATATCTGGTATAGCTTCGCTCCCAACTTAAAACTCACACTCTGTGCGCTGTGATATAAGGACAAAAAAAAAGAGTATCTGAAAATTTAAGGAAAAATAAGGTTCATACAAGTTCTTCGAAAATTAAGAGAGTCTCGTATTTCGTTGCATGATTTCATTAAGGGTTAAATTCTTAATTTAGAGAATAATCATTATTCAGCGATCATATGATTTTTTTCTGGCAGTGTTAACGATAAGTTACTGCTTGACATTGTAAATAATAATACAGAAGAAAATCACATACTTTTAGATAAGAATCACTCACAAGGAATACAGGAAAAATTCTGAGTTCCAGGTGCGATTCGAACAAATACCGTAATTTGCTATCATTTTCAAATTACCCTCACACTGGATGAGCCATGATAGTTATTACTTTTCTTCAAAAATGTTCTCGAAAAAGTCCATCCTGGTGTCTGTAGCGGTTTGATGCCTCAAGTTCTAATTTCTAAAGGTATGAGTGTACACTGAGGTGGCGCGAAAGTGTGTAGAGTTTTTTTACTATATGTTCTTGAACTACCGAGGTGCTTAGTGTTTGCATGATCTTCGCAATGTCCTGAAATAATAATAAAAAATGTTTACAATTTCAATTTTTACCGCCTACCTGGAGGATAATTTCTTTTTTTTATAAATACGGGGAAGATAATTATATACCCTACCTCCAAAGGTCCGTTCTTGAAATATCTAGGGAGAAATAACCCGTGCGCACGATTTCATGCTGGAGCTCCTGACACTCTCTGCACCCCTTATAATTTACGAGACACAAAGGAAAAACACACCAAACAAAACCGCCAGTTTCGCAGGCTAACTTACAGCCTTTTACTTTAAGCCAAGCGTTTATTTGGAACACGTGGTTCATAATCAAGAAATAACGTTCAGAGTAAGTGCTGTATATAATGGCTATAGTAGGCGGGACTTCCGAAAGGAAAATGATCTCAACTACCTAATTAAATATGCACATTTTAGTAAATGCTATTTAGGACGGCTTGCTTCCATCAGGTGCCCCTGAAAAGTGAACTACAAATGTGTCTCAACGAAAGAAACACGTGAAACGTGATTTCAAATAACACGTGACGTCGCTGCGTCAATGACGTCACAAAACACGTTTTCCTAAACGGGGAAGGGTTGCAAACCTTAATGTTAGGAATTTTCACTACCTAAATGTTACATAAACAGTGTAAATCGTAAATTCACCTTGTATGATTGGAAATGTTATTTATCCTATTAGCTATTTAACTGATTGATAAGTCACGTGACCCTTTTCCCTTTATTTACCGATTCCTGTATAACGTAAACACACATACAAGGCGAATTTATAAGCACCTTGTCAATGGCCTCTGAAATGTAACTAAAAGAACTTGTTGCTCTTTCATTATCCCTTCCCCATTTTAGAGTAAATATTTTGACCGTTAATTCTCAATTATCAGTCACGTGACGAAAATTTGAGCTTCTAAAATACACTCATATTGCTAAGGCCAATAAGCTTCATTTGTAGTTCAATTTTCAGAATCATTGATAGAAGCAAACCGTTCAAAATAGCATTTTATTAAAATATGCACATTTAATTAGATAGTCATGCCTTAAGTGCCTGAGAAGTCCGATGGATCAACTCACCTTCCTTAATTTCTTGCTTTCTATTCTTTTTTTAATCAACGTCCTCCGCAACAACCTTCCAAAGAAAGGAAAATGATTACGTATTAATAATCATTTTTATAGGGCTAAACAAAATTAAGAGTTATTTTTTCCTGGTACTTTTTCTAGTAAAGCTTTTCGTCGATGTTCAATATCTCTGTAGGGTTTTTCGGTTTCATATCTATTCACCCGGGGATTTATTGAAACGGAGGAAGAGGTTCATGTCTTCTTAGTAATTGCTTGATTACAGAAAACCGAAACAAAAAAGGCTCAGAAGTGAAAGAAGTAAGTAAATCAATCGATTGACATATAGTACATCCACGTGGTGCCGGTTTTTCGTCTACCTGATTGTTGCCAGTGGTCGAATTGGAATTTGAAGATGTTGGTTTTTGAGGAGAGGGGAAAACCGTAGTACCCGGAAAAAAACCTTTCGGAGCAAAGGAAAAAACCAACGACAAACTGAAAGTATTCTACAATGCAGTCAGTTATTACTTCATGGTCTAAAGGCTGAAGTTGTATTTCCGCAGGACCTCGTCTCTGGTCTATTTCTGGCGGATCGTCTACATGATGACCTTCTGGAAAGAGAAGAACCGAAAATTTTTCAATTTCACAATGAACAACCGACCCAGAGTAAGGGAAAAGGGCAGTACATCCAACTTCCGGTCATGGGAAAAGCATGAAGTTGAAGGGGAGGTCGACTGGAGAGACTGAAAAAAGGGAAATAAGTGCATGGGAACGGTCACAAATATTAACAGTGTGTGTCTTTGATACCGCCTTTTTCTATCTCCTAACGACTCTGTATTTGATTTACAGGTAAAGATGCTTCAATGTTTCAACTTAGCTTGTTTTGCGAAAAATCAAGCGAGACAAAATTAAGCCACACCAGAAGAGATTAAACCCTGATCCGCATCGAATTGCCGATTTTAAGTAGTTACCGTACGTCGTCTCCGTTAGCTTTGCAGGATAGTTGTATTCATTTAGTAACTTGAAATTCTGTAATTTCACTTTTTTTCTCTGAAGGATCTACCTACAGCGCTCAAGAAGCGCAAAAACAAACAAACAAACAAACAAACAAAACAAAACAAAACAATAGCCAAAAACAGAAATACGTTTTGACCTTAATAAAAAAGTGACTGAATGTTTTCAATGAATTCATGAGAATTTTTCATGTAATAGTTACCATAACTGCACTATTAAAACCGGAGGCTGGTATTACTTAGCGCTGTATGATATCACTATATGATCACCATATAATATTTTAAAAAATAAGCCTCATTCAGTTGTTCATATCCTCCACCTACCTTCTCCTCCCGGAACAAGAAGATCCGCTAAATGTCCACAACCCGTCCATCTCAGCGCGTCAACTAGTTCTTGAAAGCCATTGGTTCGTCTCTGAATTCGATCCAGTAACAATATGGTAGCCCTGTAAGGACCTCTGTTGACTTCCTCGCTCTTGATACCTTCCTTGTCGGTCTGTGTTAAACACGGCAAATAAGGCAACATATCTACGGGAATTATGTCCTGAGCAAGTTGAGGAAAACACTGGTCGATGAGACTTCTGTCTTCCCTGTCCATATTTAAAATCTCCGATAAATACGGATAATAGGTATATTTTACAGATCTTGCTGATCGAGATGACTAACGAAAACCCGTAGAAGCCAGGCGAGGCTTGTAAAGACAAACTTTCCCGGCGAATTATTTAGCAGGTTTTTACGGACTGGGATTTTACCCTAAAAATTTCCAAAGTAGTCATTTTCTCTTTTAAATAAATAATACTTGCACATTGTGACTGAGCACGCAAGTATATGTTTTAGTTTCATACAATTACCTCATAAATACCGTACCATTTTTAGATCGCCTTTTTTCCCCTTTTTTTTCTTTTCTTTCCTTCTTCTTCTTTTCTATTTTTTTTTTGGCAAAAGACATGTTACACGAACATGTAGCTTGATCCCCCCTTGAGCTTGTGAGATATCGTGATCGCAAAAGCACGAAATGTTATAGCACTACAGTTTATAACACGCGTCCAACCTTGACGCGTTTTAAGACCATGTGTTTTGTGTTTTGGCTCACGTTGGAAGAAAAAACGCGAGTCGCCGAAATTAAAGTTGTTCGTTATAGGTCAATAACAGAGCTTTTGTTTTAACTGAAAATTTCGCCCAGCGTCAATAGTCTGAAAAATAATAATAACAAAAAAAAAAATTTGCGTGCTCTTGTTTTGACGAGTATGTAAATGAGAAACTACATTCTTATTTGGCCCTACGTCTGCATCCTCGGATGTAGCTCATTGGGAAAAGTTATGTTAGCTTGTGCACATTTGAGGTATGTTACAAGTATTTCGGTGTATCTAATTCTTAAAATTCTAGACCACACGAAGTGAAAATAGCAAAAATATGAAATGACCGAAAAATATCAGTTACGTTATTAATAGACCTCTTTAGCTTAAATGTTTTGTTTCCCCAATACAGGTCACGTGCTAATACTCTAGGGAACAGATTCTTTCAAATTTCGTCTTATTCACGTGCATATCTACGTATAATTTCTCAAAAGACAATGGATCAAGTTCCCCTGGGACCTATATTGGGAAAACAAAACATACAAGCCAAAGAGAGTTATTGTTAAGCTTCCAGAATGTACATTTACGTTATCTTATTGTCTGTATTGTTGTCGGTGATTTGTCTATGTTCATCTTCATCGCTCTTTTCAACTTCAATAAAATACTCTTGGAAATCACTATCTAAAACCCTCTTCACTGTCTCTCCTTTTTCAGCAAGTATATCCTCAATATTCCTATAAAATAAATAGAAAATGTATTTTGTAAAATGTGCAGGGACTTTATAGGCAATTTAATCATAAAAAATGCGTGTACAACTGATTTACATGTACATACAGCAAAAAGGGTCAACAGTGTATGGTTACATGTAAAAAAGTCACAGCACATTTTAAATAACTGAGAGAGATTGCTGAATTGGATTTCTTGGGACTTTATAGACAATTTAATCATAAATGTGTGTACAACTGATTTTGTACATACAGCAAAAAGGGTCAACAGTGTATGGTTACATGTAAAAAAGTCACAGCACATTTTAAATAACTGAGAGAGATTGCTGAATTGGATTTCTTGGGACAGTCAAAACCAGAATGAAGTACCAAAACAGTACTAAAATGCTAGAAATGTGAATATTTACAAAACTAACCTGCTTTTAAAAAGATACTTTTATTTACCATGTGATCTGTTCACTGCAAATTTTAAAGCATTTTACTGTTATTGGCATCGAGTCTGGCAGGTTTAATAGTTTTCTGATTTTGTGTCTTAATTTATCAGAAATGTTTTAATCTGCACACACACCAAAAGTCATGTACACAGAAAAAAAAAAACAAATTAGTGATTTTTTACATGCAGTTCAAGTTTGTTAGCTTACAAAAAAGGAATCAATAACTTGTTAAACCAGATAATTACATTTAGAGTGTGCTTTTCACCAACCCTATAAAGGTGAACATATAAAATCTTTTCCTGTTTTTGTTTTTCCAAAAAATGCCCGATAAGGATTTAAGGGCACTTGGGGTTGTACACTGTAGGACGAGAATGTTTTCAAGGGTCTGGGATATGCCCAACCCCATAGATTGTTCATTGTAAATGGCACCTCTTTGTTAACACGCCATCATTTCATGGACAAAATTTAAAATCTGTGGGGTTGGCCAATTTTCTGGGAGGCTTTTCGTGTGCTACCAATGGGCTTTGGTAAAAGTCTTATTTTATCAACTGTTTGTCTTTGGGAAGAACAATATTACACTCATAACTATCATAGAGGCAGCATGCAAAGAAAGTCACGTCCGATAGCCTGGGGCTAGAGGATTTTGCTATCAGGTTTAATAGTGTTTTTCTTTTTTTTTTGCGTGACAGGCAAGTGCTCTTTTTTGGGGAAATTCAAATTACAGAAGGATTGTAATCAATCCTGCTAATCAAAAAGGGTTTTGGGCTAGTTGAAATGACTTGTGGGCTAGTACATGCTAGCTGACTTTCTTTGCACCCTGTAGGGGACATGACATTCAGAATTTTGTCCAATTGAGTTTCAAGGCTTATTGTACAGTGTGAACTGTAGTTAAAATATAAAAGCACACATTCTGCTGTGGTCTGAAGCACTTGGCTTTGTTGGTTTTCCTTCCTCATCAAGGGCCAAGCACAGATTATATCGGTGTTTTAATAATTCCTCTAATTTCTGACCATTTGGAAAACTGCTACATGTACATTTTTCAGAAGATATATTTTTAAATACCAAAAATGCTATTCACAAAAATAATCCATGTACATCAAGCCATTATCTNTTTTCTGCAGGACTGTATTGTGTAAACTTCTGCATAGTTCTCGTTTTGCGGGCCGCTCTTACCTGATGTTTTTTCGGTTGGTAGTTGTACCCCATATCGACAGTAGGACATGGATGATCTACGGTAGGTTGTCCATCCACAAAATGTTTGGAACAAACCCTGTCGTCTTCGCTTGGCTGCCAGTTTTTCCCTGTTTTAGGGTTTTTTCGATTGATAGATTTAACCCACTCCTTTCTCTTTTCAGGGTCTCCTTTCAATGTTGGAAAAGGATAAAGTTGAAAAAGGTCAGGACATATACAGTCCTGACTTGTACGATGGCAATTATGCGAAGTGCAAAACCCCTTCCTCCATTTCTGCAGCTGATATGTACTGCTACTGCAGCCAACGACTGCACAAATCCTCATTTCCTTTTCCGTAAAAATCCTTGTGCCCGCAATTTTCTTTCTCAAAACACGGTGACCGTCGAAAAACTTAACTCGAGCAAATCGAAGCAACTTTTATCCCGACTCGTTCCCAGTCGCACGCAATGTTGTGATCGACCGCTGGAACTCCGAACTCGCTTATTAAACTGAAATATCACTGCTCTAAGCCAATCAAATTGCAGAAATTTCTCATGTACAGTATAAAGCCTATCATTTTTTGTAATACAGTCCATGTATACTGTACGTGTATTCTGGCTTCGTTTCAGAATGTGCCTCATAAGTGGTGCTTGGTCTTGCAGTGGAAAGTTTAGTTTGGCCCATTGCCATAATTGTCTATACATTGTCATACCAAGCGAAAATTGTCAAAATTTGTAGCAAAAACGATGCCATGAAAGCACCAGTTCTGCTGATAATTATAAAAAAAGAACAAGTTTTGCAAATTACTCTCACCTTTCGTCATTGAAAAACCATCCTAGGTTATCAGCTATCAAGTGATTATTGTTACAGCCAGGGCATTTGACGATAACCACTCCTTTGGTATAAGCTTGTTTACTGATAACCTTCCTTGATCGTGTGTCGCATACTTTGCACGTAAAAACAAGTTGAAACTTGGAACTCTGTTCAATCAAGCCCAGTTTAGAGGCATTATTCTGTGCGCCACCACAAAGAGACCTTTTACAATACACGATTATTTTAGTTCGTGGTAAATAACTGGTGGAACGAAAAATGCTGTTTACTAAAAGATGACGGGAAAAATGTCGATAAAAGCAATGTGACACTCGCCACGCAAAAATCACCGCCATCTTGTGAAGAGCAGTTTACACGTCGTGTATACTGGTCCTGAAATTTACTTTACCGCTGAATTAAACGCGGGCGTCCAGTACATATCGGTGAAAATTGTACGATGGCAGTTAGGTCCAGAACTATGCTTGAACGAGTGTTTCCCATTTATTCAGGGATACTAAATACATCAAAGCCGTTCAAATTTATCTGCCAAAGGAACTTAAGTCAAGCTCAAGCCACCGAAGCAAAGAAATTACGGGCAATGGTAAATGTGTTTGTACTCTTATGTCGCTGTTTCAGCTGATCAGCAAGTTATTTTATTTGTTAGCTCAATTATGAAGCTTTTGGTTTCTAACACAGATGAGTAAGTTAAAGTACAATCTAAGAGAATTTTTAAAAAATTGATTTATAATTAAAAATAATTATTTAAAAATGAGGTAAAACTCTGAAAGTCTTGAATATTACAAATCGATATTTTCGATGCTCGATTAAAATCGATATCGATTAATATCGAAAATCGATCGGTCGAGTTTTTGTGATTATCGATTTTATCGATTTCTGTATTTAAATGATTGATTTTATCGATTTTGATCGAAAGATGTAGAAAACATAAAAAACATAACCACTCAACAAGTCAACATACCGCTCGCTAGTACAGCTTTGAATGAAAAAAAAAAAGAGTGAATCTAGGCAAATTTGTGATTATCGATTTTTATCGATTATTATAACTAATCAATCAACAAATATCGAGTATTATCGAATACTATCGATTAATCAATTACGTTTTTGATGATCAATTTCGATCAATTTGTGACACGCTGTAAATAGGGGCCCAGCTTGCCCAGGATACTCGATACAAACTGTAGACCTGCCACTGCTGTTCACTGACTGTCATGATAATTCACATCAAAGATCAGGATGTAATTAATTCAGGAGCAAGTCACAAAACCACAACTTAAATGCAATGGCTGACTTAAAAAAAAAATCCAGCAATATTTCTAGTGCATAGTTCAAATGCTGTTTTCCTTAGCAAATGATTATCATTACGAGTATACCTATAATTGTTACCCATCCTTAAACTTTTGCCAGTTTTTATGGTAGTTTGTTGCTATTTATTAGCAATCTTCTTGATAAACTTCTGTTGAATTTCTCAGCATTAATGAAAGGTACACTGTAACTGGTCAAGTGGCCTGGAGTTGTGCCACCTGATACCAGAGTTAAGTTGCCCAAAATGCTGAGTGGACATGTCCCCTTAATTTTTTTCAGGTGATAGTGCGCAGAGAAACAAAGTTATTTTTTGTTGAATAAAGAGTGTCAGTATCTTGTTCTTTAAACCATAAGGAGACAAAACAAGGGGAATGAATGTGTAACATACGTTATTTTTTAATGAGATGAAACAAGCAGTATAAATGTGTAATATATCTCACTCTTGAACCATTGATGAGCAGTGAAACAAGGGTGATCAGTAAGTACTGTATCACATTCTTTAATCTTCGATGGTACAGAACAAGTGCAATAAATGTGTAATAAGGATGCAAGGATGTTGTTCAACAAGATGAAGTTTCGAGCCACATATTTAGCATTTCAGGCAACTTGACTAAAAATTTTGGGTGACATAACTCTGATTTAAATGACGCAACTTCAGGCGAGATGACTTTCGGGCAACTTTACCATAAACCCATGAAAGTTTGTGTCACCGAGTTTTTCTTTGTTGTTTCTGCAGGTTGTTGGTTTAGGTAACTACACCCTGCCTAATACAAGGCACAGTGTAGGGATGCTTGTAGTTGACTGTCTAAGCCAACAGCTGGGTGCATCTTGGCAATTTAACAGAAGATCACTGGGTCATGTGGCTGTAACAAAAGTGAATAATCGTCAGTTAATGATGTTGAAACCTACTCTGGCAATGAATGTAAATGGCAAAAGCATTTCAAGGACCGGTGCGTACTTACCAATAATAATGATATTATAATAAGACTGTGAAAGGTTTGTACCCAGCAGTAATTTTTTAGGTGAAACACGATTGTCCGGGTGAAGGTAGTCCTGAATAGGAGTGTTGTTGCCTGATGACAGTGACTGACGTTTTGACAACCAGTGCTGTAGTCATCAAAGTGAGTTCTGTCACGTCTGTTGATGGTATTAAACTCTGGTTATTGATCTGATTGGTCAATTAAGTCACAATGTTATTGGTCGTTTGTCAATTAAGCCATGAAGAACATTAATTTGGCTATGAAGACTGGTTATCTTATTGGTGCATTTTGCCTATTGTCACAGTTAAACAGTGATTTATTGTTATTCAAATTGTCAGTTGTCATGTTGTTCTGTTGTAGTTGGTTTTGCTCGATTCTGTCAATAAGTCGTTTCTGCAGTTCTGGTAACTATTGACTACGATTCAGTGGCATTTGTTCTAAAGTAGTAAACCAGCTTGCTGAACTGAGTCGTTGATAGTAATCTGTAGAATACATTATACATGTCGCGGAGACCAGTCGATTTGGTGTTTTGTCTGTAATAATTATAACAGTGTGTATATATATTATTTTTTCCAGCTGCAATGTTTAATGTGAATCCCTGCAATGTCATTCTTGTGCATGATGACCTTGATAAGCCTGTTGGGAAATTCAGTTTAAAACATGGAGGTAGTGCAGGGTAAGTACATTACATGTAGTATAACTTTATTACAGCCTGCAGACTCTTCATTTGTAAGTACATTGGAACCCAGCCTGCATTATAGACATTTGTATATGCTGTAATGAACAGCTTTTTGTCCCAAGTGTCAACCCTGCTTTACAGACACTGCTTATCTACACACTGTCTATTATTGAATATCAAGTACCATCAAAAACCCAACAGAAACAGCAAAATTATGTCCTTTCAAGGGTTCTGTCATGTTTTGTCTAATGTTCAGTCCACTTGGTTCAGTGGAAAACTAAAAGCCTTGGTACAAAGTAAGTTACAGATTCCATTGTTGTACTTCAAGAACCATTCTTGAAAGGTAGCTTTATTCTAGACTGAGGCTGGGGTGGCTGATAGTGAAGTTTCTTTAGGATGGACTTGTTACAGCCTCTGCTAAGAAATTTAACAACGTTTTCTCTTAAAAAATGTCTGCTTTAGTCTCCAGATTGATAAAGTATATGCCCCCAGCTTGCTAAGAAAGTCATGTCCGATAGCCCGGGGCAAGTGGATTTTGCTATTGGGCTAGTGGTTTTTGTTCTTAACTTGCGTGATGGGCAAGTGCTGTTTTTTGGGGAAATTCAAATTACAGAGAGATAACAATCCTGCTAATCAAAAAGGGTTTGGGGGCTAGTTGAAATGACTTGTGGGCTTGTACGTGCTAGCTACAGCTTGCCTGAATGGCAGGCTGTAAAACTGACTTCTTTTGCACCCTGTGCCCCTGATGTTTTTATTTTTTTCTGAGAGCCTGCTGTTTAATACAGAGACATGGATGATATGGACTGGCGTTTCCCCTTGGTTGCAATGTATAAGTTATTTATAAGATGATAGTTGACTACCAGAACCACTTGAATGCACATAGTATTGTCATATGCAAGCTGTGTGTCACAGTGTGCTAACTTCAAAAAAAAAAAAAGAATTTCACCTTAAAATAAAATTACATGTACCTTAAAAACTAGTGTGCAAATTTATCTTGGACATAAAAATATTAAGATTTTCTTTGACTGTCTATAATAACCATGCACTGTTCTATATGCTTAATGAGGTCTTGTGATTTTATTAACCTAGGCTTTACTTCTAGACAAAGTTCCATGATGGTGATATGATTCATCAATCATTCAAACTTTTGAATCTATAGGCAGAAACTTATTCAAATGTAGCTATTTCAGCAAAATGTTTGCATAGATCAAACGAACTATTATTATGGGCAGAAGGGTTTATATCTGGTTCCACAATAAAACAACTATTGACACAACTCTGCAATACAGTTCAATGTACATGTAAGGGGGGATGGTAAGTTGTGCTTTCTTGCAGCCCTTCACATTCATATTTACTCAATGTGGATGTCACCAATTTTTTTCATATTATTTATTTTTACCCCTGCCATGTGAAATAGAAACTGTCCTGTACCTTACATGTAGCTTTCCAAGAGTTCAAATTTTTTACCATTTTTTTTTCTTTTTTCAGAGGACACAATGGTGTTAGATCAGCAATTGCGTCACTGGGATGTGATGTAAGATAGATTGATAATAATGTTATTGTTATGGTGGGCGTCAAGCGGAGCCCACGGACTAATCTTGGTCAGCAGCACTTTATTAACTTTTAGTGTGGTTTTTCCAAAATTTGACCACATTCTTGGGGTGCCCATGTTCTGTATACTAATATGTGTGGTATGTGGCCGTGAAAGGCCCTGGTGCAGAATCTAAGGTCCAGTTGATGTCACAGTAATCACGTGAATTCAGATGCAAGTGATGCAATAATATTAATTTGATTCTGCAAAAATGCACTTATTAAATTCAGGTATACCCGTTATGTACTAAATGCAAGACTTCTCTATTCATCTTGCTGGCCAGAAACCTGTACCAAGGGAAATAAATTAGAGCTTGATCGCAGCTTAGTGCAGGACGAGTCTTCGTTAAGATGCTAGTGATTGCAAAGTAATAAGCTACAAGGTAATACAGCTGTCTCTCTTCACTTTTCATCGTTGGCAGGATAATTGTATCTAAGCCACTGTAAAATCAAAGCATTGACTTCAATATTAGTCTTGTTTAATGTGTTGTTTAATTCACTGTCCATGTTCACGATCTGCTGTGATTCCTTTTGTTGACACTGGAACTTAAAGGGCTTTGTCAGATTCATGTACAAAATTGTGAAAGTGGTTCTCAACATCAACTGCATCTTTAAGGTACACGTACCAATACATGTTTGCCCGCACTTCCTAACCTTTGGTTACTGCTAGTATAACTGTTATTTTTATGTTGATTTAAGGCACCTACATAATGGTGATAAATGATTTTTTAATTTACTTATTACTTATAATTTGCTTGTTTATTTTGAGACCCCAAAAAGGGTGCGAGTAGGAATAGGAAGACCTAATAACAGACATCATGTGACAGCATATGTCCTGAGCAGTTTTGAACCATCAGAGATCCCAGTTATACGGGACACAGTTGAACAGTGCTGCAAGGTCCTCATGAAAGAGCTCCAATCATTAATGAGCCAAAGCAGTGACCATCAAGATATAGGGTCTCCCAAAAAAGACACTGTTCAGTATCAACTACAGCTATGAACAAACCACAACAAATGTAAAAAAAAAGTTAAATTTATTGCGGAAGTTCAAAAGTTTTCCTGCTTGCAAAGATAATCATTTTTAGAATGATATTAATTATTTAAAAATTTATTCTTTAAAGGGTGTTGAATTTTGTTCAGTTTTATGTTAAACACAAGGATTGAGTCCACAGTAGATTTTTCAGAGTTAGCCTCATTTGTCTATATGGTGGGTGACATGGTTTTTTTATCTGAATGGTATCTCTGTTCTTCATTCCGTGCCAGTATTCTTAAGACCGTCTCAATCTGGCAGCTCGTATGCCAACATGCCAAGGATTGGAAGTTAACACGCGGTTCAAGCAAATTCATGCCCTACTGTGATACAGGAGATGGAGAGGAGAAGTGCATCCTCCAGACATGTATGCAAACTCTTTTGGCTCAGATCGTAACAGGAAATCATTAGAAAGTAGGTTGAGTATGCATGATCGTCCGGGTGAACGTAGTCCTGAATAGGACTGTTGTTGACAGTGACTGACGTTTGGACAACCCGTGCGGTAGTAACGGACGTGATACAACTTACTTTGACCCTGCAGATGACTACTGCACTTGTTGTCGAAACGTCAGTCATTGTCAACAACAGGACGATCATACTCCACCTATACTTATGAAATGACTCCTGGGTTAAAAGCTTTCACAGGAGGTCATTAGTGTTTAAAATACTCATAACAAACAATTCCATTTCATTTCACTTCAGGGGCGGATCTAGGGGGAGGGTGCAGGGGGTGCGCACCCCCCCCCCCTCGAGATGACCTGTGGTTTTCTAATACAACTGGTATTCTGCAAAAAAAAACCTATGTGGTTTATTGGTGTTGAAGTAGAGCAAGAGACGAGTGCACCCCCTCCTAAAAAAAATCCTGGATCCGCCCCTGCACTTAAGTCATTTTCAATAAGGGCCGGGAGAAAGGACAAGAGGGAGGATAAGAACTAAACGAGCTAGACCACGTGATTTAAAAATAACTTGTGATGAATGAAAAGAAAGAAAGAAAAAAATATCTCAGAAAAAGTAACATATATTTATAAACTGTTACTTAATATAATAAAACCCTTGATGCTATGCCCAAGTAACATGAGGGTGATCAGCTCTAAACATTCCCTAACCTTATTCTTACAATACTCTCTGCAAATGATAATGGTGGTGGTGGTGGTGGTGATGATGATGATGATGGGTTTGATTGATGAACAAAAAAAGCGATAACGATGATGATGATGACGACGACTACAACGACGACGACGATGATGATCTTTCCCAAAATTTTAGTTCCCTTTCAACTTTCGGTCCTGAAAGTAAAAGACGTCTATGAAAAGCAAGCGAGCTGTTCACGTTAAACACCCTCATAGACGCTCAGTAAAATAGATCCGACT